ATGTTTCCAAAACAAATGTGTATCAGTGATTATGTGCAGCTGCAGCTACTGAATTGCACAGAAAGATTAAAAGCATCCTCCTTTCTGTCTAGACAAGTATTTTATAAACTTTATGTCTATATACAGGCTAGAGCTAAAAGGAACATCTTATAAAGTGACCCTAAGAGCTAAAACCTGGGATGTCTACACACAGAACTTCTGCTTGAAGTAGGTGGAGGTATACCTAACCCTCTAATGATCTGATGGTTCATGCTTCAGAGGTGTATTTAAATAACTTCGTCAGAAAAGAAATTTAGTAGTAAAGAACCTAGGAGGAGTTTCAGGTGATAGCCATATTGAATTCTATCTAACCCATTTCTCTCCTAAGCACAGATTGGGTACTGAGGGTGGAAAAGGAGAGAAAGAAAAAGTGAAGAAAGAGTGTAGCATTCAGTCTGCTCCCGAGCAAGGAGTCAAACGAACTGACAAAAATTTTCTGTCTTTCCTTGAGCACCAGCTTACGAAATTTTGCCTTGCTACAGAGCCTCAAAGATCTCCCCACAAAAGCACGACTTTGCTAGCATCTTAAGCTGTTCCACTGCATTTTACCTCAGCTGAACATAGTCTGAAGAACATCTGCACCACCATCTAAGTACGACCAGGCTAGTTACTCCAATTACACCTGCTGTCTGCAGCTCTGCTGTTTAGGGTGATTCATGGAAAGACACCTGTAATCTTCTCATGTAGATAAATCTCCTCTGTAGAATGCAAAATTTTATATATCTTTTATGTGTTACGGGAATGGCAGGCAGGCCTGGAGTGGGTGCATCATCTAAACCAAATCATAGGCTTTGAATATTCATAACCATGTTAAGTTACTTATGTAAGAATCGAACTAAGTTCCAACTAGTTTTTGGTCATATTAACTACGCTGATGCCGAAGTGCCAGAATGCATACCTTTTTCACAGAAGAAAAGAAGAAAAAAAAAAAAAAGGGGGAAAAAAATGGTTTGCCTTTCCAGCTCTCTACACTTACACAGGATCAAATATACATAGACTGTAATCTGCACAGCTCTCTCTGACATTCGTAGAAACAGATTCCAGTTTATCTCACTGACATTTAGATTTTTTCCCAACTCTCCAAACAATCTCATCTGCTATAAATGGAAGTAATTCTTTCTCATCAGCCAAAAAGAACAATCCCTTTAATAATCTTTTATATACTGTAGGCAACTCATACTTCCTCTCTTCCACCGTTGTTTTCTAAATTAAGTAACACCTGTCATACACTGCACTTTCTAACCACCTTCTCCTCTTGCTGTTCTCCTACACGCCTCTAAGTTTTGTATGCAAAACTGGGCATTGTATACAGTAGAGACATCATGGGGCTCTGAGCAACCTGATCTAGTCGATGTCCCTGCTCATTGCAGGAGGGTTGGACTAGATGACCTTTAAAGGTTTCTTCCAACCCAAACCATTCTATGATCAGTGGCAACGAATAAAGAATAGCAGTTAATTCTCAAACCACCTTTTCAGTTGAACCTCTAATCAACTTCTTGTTCAAATTCAACTTTTCTGTAATTAACTACAAAATGAGATTTAATTGTAAAGTTGTTGCATGCCTCCTTCTCCCACAGCCAGTCAGCAACTCCTCACTTTATGTTTATTTGATATGCTTGGTTTTTTTCTTAAGCAGCACTTCTATTTTCATTGACAGAGTAAAACACATACAAATGGAAAGAGATGAGCAAACTCCTGATTTGAGCAGCAGAGCTGTTATTACTAATGATGAGACAACTGAAGGAAGATCAAGTTTACAGAGTCCAGACTGCTCTAGCTAGGAAATCAGTTGGGGGAAAAAACGACTACCCTGACAATTAGGCACACTTGATATAAATCAGACACTAATCAAAAAACCCTACAATGCTGTCTTTATAGAGTTTCATTTCGATGTAAAGACACACTTTCAGCCCTCCAGAAAAAGCCTTCTGTAATAACAAAAGAGAAGTTGTCTTGGAGCTAAGACTGGCAAACAACAAGGAGTTGCCAAAATAGCTTAGAAAATTGTATGAAGTCTCACAAGAAATGGACACCATTCAAAATGCATTTTACATGATGTATCAAACCATCCTACTCTAAAACCACTTAATTTTTTTTATACTATCCTCTTAGTGTATTATACTGTATTTCTACCTCTGCTGCAAACCCATCATCTACTAGTAATGTGAAATCCTGTTAAAAGTATACACTTATTATCTATTTATATGCTAATGAACCTTAAAATCTCTTGCACTCTCCTTGTTAAACTCTTTTATTAGTGTCGTATGTTACAAATGCACTGCAAACCTTTAAAGTGACATAGCCATTTGTAGAGAAAGCATCAGAATTTATGTAAATCTGATGTTGTTATCTGATATTAGATTACAAAGAAGAAAGGCAGTTTGTCTACAGTCAGAGCGAATGAGCACCAAAGAAACCCTAAACCATAAATATTAAACCAGTAAGAGGATGAATCAAATGTTATTTTGCTATTTCAGGTATCATTATAGGTGAAAATCTTAGCCAAATACTCTAGAGATTTTAATTAAACTTTACTTTTATTTCAAAAAAGGTTAAAACATCTCTTTGGCTGGCACTTTCATGCTTCTGCTCCACACTGTCCTTTGCATTTATCTTTGCATAATAAAGAATTCAGACGCCATGAGTCACCTACAAAAGGCTGGGCTGAACAATATAGCCTTAGACTGTTTCTTCATTTTGGAGATTCACTCACACTATTACATATTTTGCAAGCACTCTTAATAGGCACTCAGCTGCAAAACTGCAAGAATATCAATTTGGAAAACAAAACAGTCTATATATTCCTATCGTCAGGCAGGAAGAAGCAGACTTTTCTTGCAGTATAATCTGTCATACAACAGACGTGTCATAAACAGTCCTTGAGACCTAACAGATGTTTTGAGACTTTATTCAATCTCTCAAAGTGATAAAAATGGCTATGTTGTAGTCACTTATGCTTCTTATGCTACAAGCAACAGAAATCCATTTCATTTATTTTGCAGATTACAATAATTTATTACAATCTTCTTCATGTGAGTTATGGTCAGGGAAGGAAAGCAGAAGATTTCATCACTTGGTAAACAGTAAGTAAAATGATCATTCTACAAGAAAGGGAATTCAACCTTTCTGAAAGTAAACTCCAGAGGTGCAAAACCAAAACTATGTATAGCACATAAGCTCAAAAAACCACATAACATTCTCAAAAAGAAAAAAAACAAACCCCAAACACTCAAAAGGCAAATTTTTGTTGAAAATTAAACCTTTGAAATAGCCTTGACTTCAACGCTTAGATTGTAATTATTAAAAATTTGCATTAATTCTGTGAATCTAGAGCAACAATTATACTTATCCCGTGTATCTCTATTGTTTCAGAAGTATAAATTATCAAATATTATTTTCATAATGTCAGAATTTCCCAAGAATGCATGTATATACATGTCCTAATTTCAGCTGGGATACAGTTAATTTTCTTTCTAGAGGTATAATGTTTTCAGTTCAATATGAGAAGAATGTTGATAACACACTAATGTTTTCAGCTGTTGCTAAGTAGTGTTTAGACTAAGTCAAGGATTCTTCAGCTTCTCATGGCCAGCCAGCAAGAAGGCTGGAGGGGCACAAGAAGCTGGGAGGGGACACAGCCAGGACAGCTGACCCAAACTGGCCAAAGGGGTATTCCAGACCATGTGACATCATGCCCAGTATGTAAAATGGTGGGAGTTGGCAGTGGGAGGGGATGGAAATTGCTGCTTGGGAACTAACTGGGTATTGGTTAGTGAGTGGTGAGCAACTGCATTGTGCATCACTTGTTTTGTATATTCCAATTTATTATTATTATTATTATTGTCATTTTATTATTATAACTGTTTTTTTCTTCCTTTCTGTTCTATTAAACTGTTCTTATCTCAACCCACAAGTTTTACTTTTTTTCCCCTGATTCTCTCTCCCATCCCACTGGGTGGAAGGGTAAGTGAGCAAGCGGCTGCATGGTGCTTAGTTGCTGGCTGGGGTTAAACCACAACAATATGCATGTGTCATTTGCGGTATCAACATGACAAAATAAATTCTGCATCTGCTGCATTACTAAAAATCCCCTGTAACTGAAATAAGATGTCAAATATACCTTATTTTTCACTGCTTCTCAACCAATACTGAAAAATGTGCTCTGCCAGTGTAAAGGCCCATCATGTTAGGACCCACTGTGGAATGCACTACCATTTATGTTAAAAAGATGTGAATTTTTCCCCTTTCCCTTCCCTCATAACAAGTGGTACACTTGTGTACACTAGCGAGAACATTTTCAGCTAGTACTAAAGTTAACTGAAGAGGAAAAAAAAAAAAAAAACAAAACCAAAACAACCCAGACAAAAACACAAAAAGGTTTAATACAATTTCAAGTCTGGCTCAGAGCTCATGAGGTTGAATTTTATTTTAGAGGAAAAGACCACAGTGAAATGAAGACCACTAGTCTCCCCCTGAAGTAAAAATTAGATTATCTGCTCACACACTTGAATTAAAACAGCTAGTAGAGGAAGAAGTAAATATCAATTGACTGAAATCAGATACAAAGAAAAAAGATTCTATGTTAAGATAACTGGCAATAACATAATTAACCAGTAATCTCCTAATTTATATGCAGTTCCTCCTTAAACAAAGAAGGGCGACAATGTGCATACAACTCCTCCATAGAAATACGAGCATGCACAATCTGTTACCTCTGATGACTCTTGTACCCTTTACCATATGTGCTCACTGGATATTAGTTCACAAACAGAAGTACGTAAAAAACAACGTGGTTTTAATAATATTTGCCTGTATTAAAGGACTAACAACTTGGCAAGCATATTACCACTGAAGTACTAAGTGTACTTCATCATATTAGTTCTTCATATAATTACAAAACTACTCACAAGGATATCATGAAGAAGCTTTTCTTTGCTTAGCAATAAGAGCCAGATACTCACAAAGAAGGGTCTTGGACCAGATCTTTAAGGTTTATCCCACTACGATCCTCGGCAAGGTTCCTGAAGCAACTGTCACTCACTAAAAAAAATAAAAATAAAATTAAAACAAAACAAAACAAAAACAGAGAAAAGAAAAAAAAAGGTGGAAATTTAAGAACAAAATGCAGTTCTTTTGATTAACTAGAAACACTTTTTGGTGTTGGGTGTAATTTGAACATTCATATATAAACTCCGATTTTCAGTGAGGTTTTACCTAATTTAAAGATAACTCAATGGAAAGTGATAAACACTGTATCACAGATTACACAGAAACAATCAGTTTCAGCTGGTGTCCTTACTACTTCTCCACCTGTGGCTACAAGAAGTCTCCAACACAAACACTGGGTGCACAGGTATACACAGATATCCATATGCTTAACAGTAGTGTCTTTAATCATGCACCGGTCGGTATTCTTTACCTAATGAGAAACAGCAAGAGTTGCTATATATTTAAGTTCACAGTTGTTCATGGGTTAGCAAAGATGTTTAATATGAACAATATCCAAAACAAGCAATTAAGAGCAAAAATTTATTCAAATAGCTTATAATTAACTTATAAAGTGCATGTAAAGCAGCTAGTTACTATAATAATTGAAATTACAACACAGTAAATTTCACAGAAGTTTAAGAGTATTAGTGTGCTTTCATTTTCTTCACTACATTAAATTAAAAAAAAAAAAGGGGGGGGGGAGGACGGGGACACAGGGGGAAGATGACGACGTGATTTAAACCTGAAACTCCAAATCCATTTTCTTGGTTAATTCTTTCAGCACATGAACCCCATTCCCACAAGCGGGCTCATTTCTCTTAAACAACACCTCGGTCAATTTGAGAGATGGAAAAAAAGTAGCGGCACAAATGCTGATCAGCATCAATTCAATGGAATTACAGTTATTTCTGACTATAGCAAACTTTCTGAAGGACACAGAGGTTGTGATATGGCAACCTCGTCTCACCATTTTTTTCTTTGATTGTATGAGAGTCAGAACACTGGGAAGCTGCAAATTTGCAAGCAAGCCGCCTCCTAGGTTCCTGTTCTAGTCAGACTGAGAAAACATAGATGCCTCAGATAAATGTGAAAAATTTCAAACCCAGTTTTAACAACCAAGAATTCCAACAGTTTAGTTAATATGCACCAAAATCAAACTTCTGAAAACTAACATTTGACTATAGTTGCCAGTTAAATTACTAGCACTGAAAGCAATAGGAGAGCTTCCAGCGAGAGGAAGTAGTTCAGTGGAATGGGCTGGAGTAAGGCCTCTTACAGGAAGACTTTAGCACTTTACTGATCTGCATACAAGCACAGCCACGCTCCCTCACATCCTTGCCAACTCCAGCCCAGGAAACAAAACAAATATTCTGCAATAAACATGGGGTGGAAGCAATCAGTCAGAGTAGGTACTACATTTCTCATGGCTTAGAAAACCGTAAATCAACACTGCATGTATTTTAAAAAATGGTATACTCTGACTGAAATGCAAGCTATTTATTTTAAACAGGACATAGGGTGAAACTGTGTTTGATGGTATGGCAGAAGGATCAGGATGATCAATGGTGCTTTAAGGTTTGAGGGAAGAAAAGGCACAAGACAACTTTGCACCACAGACACAAATTGTACTACATATATAAAGGCCATGCCTAACTTCTTGTCTTTAAAGCACAACCAAGGGAGATTTTTGCATAGGACATCTGTATGAACACAATCCCCATGCAGGATTTTATTGTCTTGCTTCAAAATTTCATTTTTATCTTTTTAACTCCCCAGAAGTTTATAAAAGCTAGTATTTTAAGCAGTGTTGAGTGTGTCATTTATGGAGAGATATGGCATTGTTAGCTGCTCCCCTCTACAAATATACCAAGTGGCTGAGCCTCTGATCTGTATTACACCCCCTACATATACTCCTTATAGACAAGGAGAATCACAACAAAAAAAGCTCCCCAAAACACATTTGCTCCATGGAGTATTGTACATACAATGACAGTCTATAAGGTACTAGAAATGTTTTTTAAGAAATTAAATATTGGCACAAATATCACAGGCATAGACTGAACCCACTCCTACCACAGAAACACATAGTCTGAAAAACATCACGCTAAGAAGAGATCCATTAAACAGTTTGACTTCCAAGTGAGCTGTTACATATATCAAAAGTGAAGAGGTTTTAGCAATAGCTCCAATGCACCCAACATTCGTCCCATTTTCAGCTCCTGGTTTCTATTACTGATGTTCTGTTTCTGACCCCTGTCTAGTCTTGTGCCTAGGAAGTAACAGAGATGGCAAGCCAATGGGGGAATTCAGTTCTCACCTGTCAAATACACAGCATACAAAATTCCATATGAAAAGGTTAAAATCGGCTTTCACACTCTAATGTGCAAACATCCAGTTTAAAACAGTTGTGAAGCTTTCCCACTTGGCATTTGTGAACTTCTAAATCTGTCCATGTGATTTTTTTTTCCTTTGCTTTCTTTAACAAAGCTTTAAATGAGACCACATGGAAGAAAAATGGATTATTAGCCTGTTGATTTCCAAAATGAGAAGTTCTTCAACTCTGAAGGTAAACTATTATCTTCTTCAAGTAGAGGTAGCATATAATCTGTTGTGAACTTTATCCTTTTTTAATATCCTACAATTTGAAAACAATACAGCCCTTTAAAACTGTCACTTAACTTCTTATCCCAGTGTATTCCCAGTAAACACAAGCCCTCTTTAGATCAAAGCACTTCAAATTCTACAACTGTTAATGCTCATTTTCATATCATATGCTTTAGAAAAAAATGCAATCATTATCCTCGAAAAATGAAGGGCTATCTATAGTCTGGTAAAGAAAATTAATAAAAATGTTTACCTCCCCAATATCAAAATATGCAATTCCAGAAAACTACTATTACCTGCCAGATTTTCCTCTTGGTTCTCAGAATTCAGAATTGCGTTTAGATTAGTGGTGGTTACCTGTTGATAAAAACCATCTTGACAACAAAACCGCTACACTCAGAAAGACAGTCACTGATTACTGTGATGCACTTGGTTCGAAAATACATGGCCTACTACAACATTGAACAGTATGAACTGAAATATAAGATACCAATTTATTACATTTTTGTCTTTTAGTGATAACATCTCCTAAGTTCAGATCTTTTTCTTAGGACTTCTTCATCTGTCTGTAATATTTTTGGCAGACATTCCATAGCAGATCTCTCTTCCTTACTTCTCTTTTTATAGGATCATTTATATGTTTAGTTTTTTATACCAGCTTCATTCAGCAGCTGATAAATACAAAAAATATTTAATACACTTGGTATGTTCTGGAAAGTACTGGTCTGGCACAGCATTGTATTCTAGTCTGGTTTTGCTTGCGGTAAAGCATTATTCAGAAGTCTCATTTCAGATTCAGGTGGTTCTGTTCCATGCACTGCATGCAAATGTAGCAGGATTCAAGTATTTTGTTTTTATAGGCCCAACCTTATACACACTGCAAGCAGCCACTTTTACCTATTGTAATTGTACATATTGTTGACTTAAAGACCTAACAAACACTGCTAAGGAAACTTAGGTTTTAGGATATAAGAAGGCAATAGAATTTTTTCTCAGACCTCAAAACATCTCTCTTTAAAAGACTGTTCTCCTGCAGACATAGAATTCCTGTCCTATAGGCATACTTTAAAGAAGGCAAAGGAATGGGATAGTACCAGAATGTAAAGATTGATTCTCTTACTATTAAAATGGTTTTAAGGCATTTTGCAGGTCCCATAAACAGTAACATCAGAGATAAATATCCTGCCTCTTTTATCTGCCACTGCCATATTTTTCAAGTGACTGTGTGTCAACCAGAAAACATACATAAGACAGATGGCATATTACAGAAATTTTGTAGCACCTTCACAAGATCTATTACAGAAGACAGCAAATTAATTATAAGAGCACTTACACTATTTGCATATCTGTACACAAATCTCTCGACGTATTTACAGAATAAAAAGAAGTACTAGTCTGCATGCAAATTGCAAGTGCTTATAACTGCTAGAAAAATATGTTGTCTGTGAGTAGCAGAAATAATGCAGGCTGGTTTCCTAAAAACCTGTGATCTAAATGCCATTCGCTATCACCATAATAAATCCAGATTCCCTTTGATACCCACACAAAGAAGAGAGCTAAAGCTAATACAAAGCCATGCATGTGAAAGCACCAGCCAATACCTATCCGCCTTCTCCTCAGTGGGAGTAATAATCTGAGTGTCCTCCTTCCCTGGCTGCTAATTTTCACTTAATTTATAGATAACTGTACCCTTAAAAATTCTCTTTTTGTTACATTGCAGTTAGTTTTCTATTATCCTGTTAACACTTTTTTAAACAGTTTAAAAGCGGAGACCTGGAAGACCAATAAAAAGACTGAAGGACGACATTGTCTATCTTTTAAACATGTAAGCCTTGTTTTTCCAAGGCAGATAATCTAAAAACCATTTTCAAAATTGCAAGGCATTGATGCACATCAAATTTCAAGTTTCCTTCCTATTTTAAACTTCATTCTGCTAAAAATGGACATAAGAGAATGAAATCATAAAACGGCAACACTCTCAGTTTTAACCCACAACTATGTAACAACAAAAGTAGTTGCAGCACCTTAACATAGTTACTAATAGGTTGTGCAGTATCTGGGCAAACATGTCACAGTGGAAACAATTTTAAAAATTGAGTTAAAGTACAGTGGTATTTACAGCACACAAACAGCACTCAAAGATTTGCTTAGGTGTGAGCAGGGTCAGGCAACAGAAAACATACCATCCCCTCCACAGGTTCTCATATTCTGACCTGAGTGCTATGCAAAAAAAGGTAACAAAACATTTTATTTAAATGGAGCATTAAAAGAGCTGAAATAGCCACATGAAGAAAAGAGTCTCTCTTCTATATGGATTGTAGTTTTTCTTTTTAAAGTATAAAACTCTTTAAATTATTGAAAAATAAGACTATCAAGTTCAAAACGTTGTGCTGCTGAAATTAAGTTGTACAGGATATGCAGTATCAGAGATGGTTAATAATTTTCATACAAGTACAGATGCAAATGATTTTTTTTATCCCATGAGAACAAAGAATTGCATTCAAAAAATAAGCAGGGCCTTTTTAAGTCAGTTGTTGTATCCTTTCCATTTACATAACCACTTAATTTCTACTGTCAAAGAACGTATCATGAACAGCAAGAGTTCCAGACAGGTGAAAGTAGCTGAGAAGGTCCTGATCACATCACTGTTTGAGCTCATTTTCCCTTTTATCTTTGAAAACTTTGTAATCAGAAATACAAAGACTGAGGTGCAACAGTTTGGAACAAGTTACAGAATGTATCCACTGGTGGAAATTTTTATTTTAAGAAGTAATGTGAAAATCTGATAGAAAAACAAAGGAAGAC